GGGGGGGGATGTGGAAGGCATTCAGGCTTAATTCGGGAAACTGGAGCACAGATCCAATTCCCTAAATCAAGAGCCCCTCACCAACATCAAGGAACCTTCCATGAGGGGTCTGTGAATGGAAATACCTTCCATTCACAATGTACACACTCCTCTATGATAGTTACCCAAATATCGTCAGCTCTTTGATTCACTTCTTGAAAACAACAAACTTGACTGAGCGGTTGTAATTGACATAACTCATAACCTGTCACCAATGGCGTAGCTAATGGGAGAGAAAGTGGAGCCCACCGCTCCCCCATGAACACATTTTTCAAGTGATGCCTTTTCAACAATTTTATAACTCTTTAGTTCACTTGTGGGATAAAAGTCGAAATTCATTTTTATTGCATCTTCCTTGTGTTTTGATTTTAAATACAAAATAACACTTGTTATTTGTTTAGTGTCATGGCACATTTTTTTTATGTGCTAGCTCCTCTAACTTTAGAACCTGACTCCCCTCAAGGAAGGTTCCTTGACGCTGGTGAGGGGGCTTTTCATCTAGGGAATTAAGATAAGATTTCGTTCGGATTTTTAACCCCGGAGGGTTAGCCACCCAGGATAACCCAAGAAAGTCAGTGCGTCATCGAGGACTGTCTAACTTATTTCCATTGGGTCCTCATCTTGTCCCACACAAGATGCGACCCACACCAGTCGACTAACACCCAGGTACCTATTTACTGCTATGTGAACAGGACAACAGGTGTAAGGAAACGTGTCGGAATGTATCCACCCCCCGGGAATCGAACCCGGGCCCTCCGTGTGTGAAGCGAGAGCTTTAGCCACCAATTCCCTGAGTTTATCCTGAATACCTTCCACATCACCCCCCACAGGCACTGTATAATCCTACAGGTTTAGCGCTTTCCCATTGATTATAATAATAATTATAACAACCTGACTATGCTGCTGCCTGTCACTGTCCACCTTATTACTTCTCAGTTTTTTGTATCCCATGTCTTCTCTGGCCCTTCTGTACTCTAATGGCATTAAGTTTAGCTCCTTTAGTTTCTCCTCAGCTCATACCTCTTAGCTTTAGGATAAATCTCTTTGCAAACCTCACATTTTTTTCGAGTTTCTTTATATATGTGTACTCAGCTATATGTAGTTGGAGGGGTCGAGTCACAGCTGATCCTGCCTTTTTTTGTGGGCATGCATGCTATATGTGGTTGTAGAGGCAGTGACTCAGATCTCAGCCCCTACTGGATTTCTCCTCCCCTGGCTGCACGAGCCATATCATACCTATTCTTAAAACTATGTACAGTGGAACCTCTGGTTATGAACACTTCTGAACATGAACAAATCAGTTCATGACCAAAAAATTAAGCCAGATTTTTGCATCTGGTCACAAACACACAATTGGGTACCAAACAAACTCAGCAGCGTCAATTTTCACATTCTGCGCCATTTTTTTCACGTGCCAATTTTCCCCACTTCTTGCAATTAGGACCACAATAAATTCAGATTAGCAATGTTTTATCAGCAGGTAGTGCCGAAACAGCTTCTCGCAGTGCCAGTACCCGGCTAGGGCTTGGCATATATGATTTTTGGTAATTTTTTTTTCTCAGTTGTTTGTTGGGCTATCTTATTGAAACTTGGGCAATGTATGGTGGAAAGATGCTTCTTAATGCACACCAAAAATGAAAGAAATCAGCCATTCGACGCCCCTTTAAACTCTTAGGACTCATGCATAAATTTAGATTTAGAAAGGACATAGGTAAGTACTGGTTTTCTAACAGCATTGTGGATGTGTGGAACAGTCTTCCCAGTAGGGTGATAGAGGCTAGGACCTTGGGTAGCTAGGGGGGGTTTGGGTTTGATTGGTGTCATTGGGTATGGGAGTTAATTCTTGGGTAGAGGTTATTTTGATAAGGACCTGCCTTGTGTGGACCAGTGGGCTTTCTGTGTTCCTCCATTCTTATGTTCTTATGCAATGTTAGCTTTTTCTGTTCAAGGCTTTTGCATTTAGTTTACTATTACACTGTGCATTCTAAGGTATAACAAACTATTTTTGTGCTTAAAATTAAAAAAAACACAATATTTGCATACAGTTCGTAGGGGTCTTGAATGGATTAATTGAATATACATACAGTCCAATGGGGAAATTAGGTTTGGGTCACAACCAAATCGGGTCACGACCAGAGTTTTGGAACGAATTGTGGTCATGACCAGAGGTTCCACTGTATAGACTTTTTCTCCTACCACTTCACCAAGTTTTTTCACTTCTTGACCACTCTTAAGCTAAAGTAGTAGTATTTCCTAAAACACACACATCAAATCTGTGTGCATGTCTGTTCATTTATGATGGCCGGGTCAATAGGAAACACGGACCTGCCAGACTAAGGCAAGTTTCTATGAAATTTGTTGTTAACTTGTACATTTTTTTTAACCCATTTTAATCAAAGGAAAATGCTAAACCCACAGGGGTCATATAGTATGAAAGTTAAGACACATGTGCAACATCTGGATATCTTTATTGTAGACGTTTCGCCATCCAGTGGCTTTATCAATACAGATTCTAGGACATAATAGGAAGACAGTAGAACTATATACAAAAGATGAGGTAATCAGTCCCTCGGCCTTGGAGTTAGTGTTCACAGCATCGTGGTAGAGGTATTTTATACCTTTCTTGCACGGTCATATAGTACTTGGGAAATGGAGGCATTTGGTTTTGATTTAAGGAAAGTGAGTACAAGTCTAATTCCTTGGAGGAAGAACCCCTCACCAGCATCAAGGTGCCTCTGTTAAGGTGTTAATACAATCAGAACTGAATTTAGTCATATGGAAAGCCCCTAGGCAAACAGGTTGTGGGTCCCTACAGTTGATTGATTTATTATTATTATTGTCTTGTTTACAAACAGCCCTCAGTACAGTATATACTGGTTTGTTCTCTTATATAATCAAAGTAAGTGCTAGACCCAAAAGGGTCATCCTTCACATAAGCATCAGCTTCATTATGGTCTTAGTAGTACTGTACTCAGTACTGAAGTAATGCCATAATATTTTCATGAATACTGGGAATATTGTATTCATATAGACAATGATCTAAATAAAACTATTGTATATTGAAAAGCAAACTAAATTGCATTTAATATATTTATACTGTATAAAGCATTTTTCATTACATGTAAAGACACTAAACATAAAATCTGTTATTGATGAAGATACAATTAACTAATATTCAGTATTTACTTTTAGAATAGTATTATTTTTATATTAATGCCACTGTTTCAAGATATGGAAATCTATAAAAGCACAGACAAAACATAGAAATATATTAAGCACTAAACAGTCAAATTGACTTCATGCACACTAAAAAAAACGTATTAAAGCATTAAAGTATTTATCTAATAAAAAGGACAAGTGTCTATTATTTAACATGAAACTTGTGCACATTCTTTATCATCTCTTTATCTCTTTTCAAAAGTATACTTTTACATGATACAATTTCATCTTGTCCTCTTTGTGGCACATTATGTCTTGTACTAGATGTAAGGCAGCTGCTGCATTATTCTGACACATATATGCTACATATTTATACTAGTCTACATTTTTCAATCTATACATCTCCGAACATTTATTTTGCTTATACAGTATGTTCCACAGAAGAGAGAGGTCTAGCATAAAAATATTTATTTAAAAACTTAAACATTACTAAAGTATTATTTATATACATATAAAAAATATTACAGTCTTCAACATTATAATGATACAAAGACTACTAAAAAACCATTTGCTCTTAAGGCAAATATTGGACGGATGAGACACACATCTGTAAAGCCGGAAGGTATTTTCAAAATAATATGCAGAATCTTACCTATGGAAGATGAGGAACTTTATACTGATGAATTTAAAAGATGCTTTTACTGAATTTTAATAAAATATAATTAAGCCTGTAGACAGCATGCATAAAAAATTATACTAAAACTCATTGTAATAATTACTGAAGACTTTTGCTCAGCTGTGCATTACCTTCTTGTAAGACCGGCCAATGTAGCTAACACTTCATATACTGTATGTCAGAAAATGCCTTTCTATAAAATATTTTTTCTAAAAATACATTACTATTCAATTTTAATATACTCTGGATCAAAAAATAAGATTCAGCTTATATGCAACCAAAATTAACTAAATACAACATAGACAACTGATATCTTGTATCTAGAATCAAGTTACAACTACCTAAGCATTTAAGGTCTAAATTATTTGCTAAAAACCTTCACTACTGTTAACCAGCTCGAGGTTTTTACCCTTGAATGTACTTTTGTGACTTCTTTATGCATAAAGAAAGTCTGATTCAGATACTGGTACAGTTTCGGATTTTATCATAACATTGTTGCAGTTAGATGATATTTCATAAACTAAAACTGTATTTGGCAAATACAGTATGCAGTTAACAGGAAAAAATAAAAATAAGCACACTTCAAGGGTATTGCTGATTATTTAGCCATCTAAGAAAAGTAAGAAAGTAATGCTAACTTTGTATTAAAAAAGCTATTTAAGGATACATCGCAACTGAAACATTGCAAAGCTACAATATATGCTAGTTACTAGACAATCTCATCTAACAAAAGAGATAATTTTCAGAGGCAACAAGACTTGGAAATCATAATTATCTCATGTGTTTCAAAGGTTTGAGAAACATTCAGTAAGTTATATATATATTATCCACTGTATTCATACCTATATCATCATCATTGCTTTCTTCTGTGTTCTATTTAACAAAAATTGCAATTTTATTTTTCACATTAAAATAATGCTGATATCTATGTATGACAATGAATTTAACAAAATTTTATTAAGTGTATTGAACAAAAAAGAAAAAGTGAAAACATGGAAATGCTTGTGGATTTTTTATAAGTTCCGTAGTAGTTACAGTGTACAGTATATGACAGCAACCACATATATTATTATTAGTGCAAAATGTCACAGTTGCTCTTTGCTGATGACACAGTTTTCTTAGGGGATTCTGAAGACAAGGTGCAAAAGCTGGTGGACGAGTTTGGGAGGATATGTCAAAGAAGGAAATTAAAAGCAAATGTAGAAAAGAGCAAAGTGATGAGAGTAGCAAAAAGTTAGGGTAATGATAAAGTAAATATCAGACTGGAGGGAAGTAGTATGGAGGAAGTGGGTTCATTTAGCAAATGGGAGTGGATATGTCAACAAGCAAATCTATGAAAGACGAGATGAGGGGAAAACAAAAGGTGGGTGATGTGTTGAAGCATCTATAAAAAGAGCTTATTTATGGAAGCAAAAGAGGAAATGTACCAAGAATAGTGTTACAAAACTTATGTGGGTGTGAGGCACTGGTTTTAAACTCTGTAGTGAGAGGGGGCTAAAGGCAGTGGAGATGTTATGTTTGAGAGCAATGTGTGGTGTCAACATAATGCAGAGAATTCAAAGTAGAAATTAATAGACAATGTGGGGTCACAAAGGGTATATGTACTTTAAAGAGCTGAGGAGGAGTTATTGAGGTGATTTGGGGTATGTAAAGAAGTTGGAGAGGGATAGAATGATAAAGAGGGTGCATAAATCTGGGGTGGATTGCAGGACGGTAGGGGTCATCCCAAGAACAGTTGGAGGAAGGGGGTAAAAGAGGCTTGGAGTTTTAAGGGCTTGAGCATCCAGCATATTTGTGTGAGCGTGTTATATAAGAGTGAATAGAAACAAATTATTTTAATGGATGTGCTGTTGGAGTGTGTAAACAAAAAATTATTTAAAATTGTTTATTAGGAATCATACATGGGCATTATAATAACAGGTCTTACAAGTCCAGTAATTGCAAAAACTGAAAAATAACAGGCAAATTATAAATTCACTTCCAATACAAAGACCATGTCAATCTTACTCCCATTAATAATATAAAGATGGTGGAGACCACTAATAAATGTTCAGTCTTATAACTTGCCACTGAATTTGGCAAGTTACTAGAAATTTGCAATGACAGCAGTCACGCAGCACTAAAGAACGGCATCTGATCAGCCATCTGCACGCACAATAGACATTCCCCTGTAAAATACAACAGGTGCATACACACACATACTTAAGAAGGGGAGATAACACATGACTTAATTTATAACACCATATCATGAATGTTTTCATTCAAAGATACTGATGCTTAAGCTAGAAAGTAGTAATAATATTAATTGTTCATGAACTGATTTATGTGACAATTTAAGTACTGAACTATACCGAGTTTTCTAGACATGTATATTATTGTTAACTTTTTTACTTAATTTAAACAATGAAGACCATAAGTATACCTTAATGAAATTTCCATGATCATTTAAAAGTATAAAGAATCATCGGGAATCAAACTAAAAACATGTATATATATAGCTGCTCAGTATGTAATACAGCTTTTATTCTAACATTCAACATCAATTTTATTTAAGAAAAAAATTAAAAAAAATTTAAGAACATGAACTACAGAAATCTACAAGAGCTAAATAATACACATGCCAGCACAGGAATAACATTATCACCGTAAGCCCATATACACTAAAATTCACATTACAAGACGTTAGAATTATAGAGAAAAAACACTGAGCCCAATTCTGCCACAGTAATAGTATCACGTAGGCCAATTGTGATAATAAGCCACAATTTTTATATATAAAAATACCTATTATATCCAGGAAGAATCTAATTCTTTACATAAAATCTACTTCAGAATTACACATGCATGCATACTGTTCATACTTGAGCCTCAATACAAAATCTCTCATCTAAGCCAAAGCAGGGTGACCCAAAAATTGTAAAACTATTCTGTCATGCATTCAATCTCTGTTATGCCCCAGGTGTACTGATGTCACAGATCAGATTTCCTTCAACTGCAACATCCCCACCCTTCCTTTAGAGTGCTGTCATTGGCCTTCCTACCTATAGGACTTTAAGTTCAGCTCACTTGAGACCTCTGAATGCCTTAATTTTTTCAAAACTCACACTCCAATAGCATGCCTGAACAGCAGCTCAAGGCTTTTCACTGTCACCCCAGTGCTTCTTCAGGAACTTTCGATATGTGATGAATGGTTTGAAAAAAACGACAAGTTGACAGATTGAGACACTTATGCAGCATATAAGAATCTTTATTCAGGAAACGTTTCGCCACACAGTGGCTTCATCAGTCCAATACAAAGAGGAAGGCGTAAGGAGAGGAGGAGTATGAGGTAATCAGTCCCTCGGCCTGGAGTTGATGTGTTCAGTCCATCAATCTTGTAGAATGTACAGCATAGGGCCGTAGACGTGGCTTATATACTGTAGTGAGGTGAGGTGAAGCAGGCGGAGGCGGGGTCATAGTGGTACCATCCACTAGTCGAAGTAGGTCTTCGTCCAAAGGTTGAACAAGTGTTGAAGAATTCTTTGTAACAAGATCCCATGATGCTGCAGTGTCTGACAGTTGTGATGAATGGTTTGAAAAACCGACAAGTTGAAGATTGAGACACTTATGCAGCATATGAGAATCTTTATTCAGGAAACGTTTCTCAATCTTCAACTTGTCGGTTTTTCAAACCATTCATCACAACTGTCAGACACTGCAGCATCATGGGATCTTGTTACAAAGAATTCTTCAACACTTGTTCAACCTTTGGACGAAGACCTACTTCGACTAGTGGATGGTACCACTATGACCCCGCCTCCGCCTGCTTCACCTCACCTCACTACAGTATATAAGCCACGTCTACGGCCCTATGCTGTACATTCTACAAGATTGATGGACTGAACACATCGACTCCAGGCCGAGGGACTGATTACCTCATACTCCTCCTCTCCTTACGCCTTCCTCTTTGTATTGGACTGATGAAGCCACTGTGTGGCGAAACGTTTCCTGAATAAAGATTCTCATATGCTGCATAAGTGTCTCAATCTTCAACTTGTTGGTTTTTCAAACCATTCATCACAACTGTCAGACACTGCAGCAGCATGGGATCTTGTTACAAAGAATTCTTCAACACTTGTTCAACCTTTGGACGAAGACCTACTTCGACTAGTGGATGGTACCACTATGACCCCACCTCCGCCTGCTTCACCTCACCTCACTACAGTATATAAGCCACGTCTACGGCCCTATGCTGTACATTCTACAAGATTGATGGACTGAACACATCGACTCCAGGCCGAGGGACTGATTACCTCATACTCCTCCTCTCCTTACGCCTTCCTCTTTGTATTGGACTGATGAAGCCACTGTGTGGCGAAACGTTTCCTGAATAAAGATTCTCATATGCTGCATAAGTGTCTCAATCTTCAACTTTCGATATGATAAAATTAAAAAATGAAGAATCCTTGTGGGGCTTGTGTGCTTTTTTTCATAATTTTCTGTGTATACTGTACCTTCAGCCTTTCTGGCAACCTTTGTTTACTCTCCTTCTCTCTCTCTCTCTTTACCTGTGATATTTGCCCTGGTGATATCTAAATGATCTCTGGATTTTCCAAATAATTTTTTAATTTCCTCACTTGCAAGCTCCTAATGAAGCACTGGTGACAATTTGAAAGGCCTTGAGCTAATATGTATTCTTCCCTTGTGGCTTTATGTTTATTCGATTGAATGGCCAGGATCTAAAAATCAACCATTCCTGCAACCACAAATAGGTAAGTGTGCATGCACATACATGCACGCACACACACACACATACATACATACACTGAAACAAAAATATAGGAAATGAACCATATCAATATTTTCACTGATTAGCTCTCCAGTTATTTTTTTTTAAATTCCAAGAGAATGGGAGAGTACTGATGATACTTCAGAAACTAAAGGAATGAGACAGAAAAATCCCACAGGAGACAAAAAGTAAAAAGCAAGAATAGTAATCTCTCAACCTCCAGCTGAGATCTTCTTCATCAGAAAACAAAGCAATGAGGAGACTGCCTCTGCTCACCTACCAACATAAAAACTCTGCACTCCTCTCATTGCTTTGTATCCTGTCGAAGAGGATCTTATCTGGAGGTTAAAATACATGAACTACCATGCTTTCCCTCCCCCTTTTTTTTTTTTGTCTTCTGTGGGATTTCCTCTCTCACTGACCAGTATTCATTACATGTTTTAAAGGAATATTTAAGTAATGTCAGGGTTTACTGGTATACTCATTTGGACTCTCTCAATGAATAAGACTGTACATATATTGACTATATTTGTCCATATTTAACATTCCACAATAGAAGGGTCTGGAGGTAGGAATTTTTATATGACAAAAGTAAACTGTCCAACATCTACATTTTTTTTTTTTATGTCGGCCGTTTCTCACCGAGGCGGGGTGACCCAAAAAGAAAAAAACCCCAAAATGAAAGAAAAAACTTTCATCATTCAACATTTTCACCATCACCCATACATAATCACTGTCTTTGCAGAGGTACTCAGATACAATAATTTAAATGTTCCCCCCAAACTGCTAACATCCCAAACCCCTCCTTGAAAGTGCAGGCATTGTACTTCCCATTCATACAAATTTTTTAAAATATTTGTATAAAATCAAATTTTGTAGGGTGCTCTGTTTGACTTGTCATAATACCAGTAAATTTATTTGCTAATTTTCCTGTAACATTTAACATTGCTTGACCAAGTATTGTAATTTGAAAGTTTCAGATCAAATTAATTTCATCTCACCAATTATTTTTTTCAAAAAGAAATGCTAAACCAACATGGTTCATACTTCATTGCTGTATTGTATTTGGTAAACTTCTAAATTAATTTGTAATTAAAATAAAAATTCATATAGTTCCCTCACTCTATATGCTGTTTCCATTATATGCTGTTGGAGTGTGAGCAGGGTAATATTTAGTGATGGGATTTAGGGAAACCGGTTAGCCAGACTTGAGTCCTGGAAATGGGAAGTACAATGCCTGCACCTTAAAGGAGGGGTTTGGAATATTGACAGTTTGGAGGGACTTCTAAACTGTCATATCTGAGTACCTCTGCAAAGACAGTGATTATGTATGAGTGAGGTGAAAGTGTTGAATGATGATGAAAGCTGTATTTTCTTTTTGGGGATTTTTTTCTTTTTGGGTCACCCTGCCTCGGTGGGAGATGGCCGACTTGTTGAAAAAAAAAAAAAAAGGCAAAAATAGATTATGAGGGATAATTTGGACAGCTGTCTCAACCATCCTTATGTCTTCACATTTACTTTTAATCACAAAATTATTGACTTTTGATACTGTATTTGCAGAAGACACCTAGATTCTTTTACAATACATTAAATTTGTACTGTTATTATTTTGAAAGATATAAATGATATTTTACAGTGCCAAAGCTAACTGAAAATTATTAATAATTACATAGACATTACAGTTTTTGTTGTAAAATCATGCCAAGACAACAAGCCATGTGGACAAGTTATCACAATAGTGAGTGAGCACAGGTACTTCTTTATAGTAACACATTCATGCTGAATCTTAGGTCTCTTATTTATGTGGACACTGGTTATCCAAGCTAGTGTTCAAACTATCATCACACTCTCAGATTAACATTTTATACATCTATAAAATCTTTCTTTCTGAACTAGAGTCGTCCTTCACTTTATGCAACAGATGCATTCCAGGCTGATGACAGCTGTATTAGACTTGATCAGGACATCAACATATGAATTCTTCATAAGAATCATCAATATGCTTGTAAACTGCACCAACAGCATACACCACATGTATTCAACACATACAAAATTACTGACAGAAATGGTACATCACATAGTTACAAACTCGCATAAAGTGAGAGAAAACCTGTACCTAGCAGGGTGGCTAGGTAATGAACAGCTCAGGCTAGTGCTACAGACTGAAGTGCCCTGGATAATTTAGGCATGAATTATTCAATACACTGTGTCAGATTTAAGGCCACAAAAGAAAGACATTTCCCAAGAGGCAAAGTGGAAGAATAATCTGATTAGATGGTCTCCAACCTCCACCTTCATCAGGCAAAATTATATCCTGTTTTTGGTCCAGTTTGAGTGATGCTGTAGCCCCCTTGATGCCAGAACTCACACAGAGCAAAGCAACCTAAAATATGCCAAGTG